AGTCGTTCACCTGATGGTTTAGTACGTGGTACTTATTCCTTCTTAGATGATAAGGGAGTACAGCGCACTGTGGAGTATATAGCTGGGGCGGGCATAGGTTATAGGGTGGTAAAAAATAAAGTTGGTCCAGGCACCCATGTTAATAATCAGGTTTTAGATTTTCGCCTAAATGATGCTACATTTAAACTGGCCAATGATTTTGGCACAGGAGCTGGACCAGGGGCTGAATTAGGAGGCAGTGGCGGAGGGAGTGTTGGTGGTGCTGGTAGTGGAGGAGCTGGTGGTAGAAGAGGTAACAAAGGCCGCATTGGAGGAGGAGCAAGTGGCACTAGAGATTATGCTCAATCCTCTGCGGGAAGGGTGGATGCAGACGCCAATCAAATAGGAAACGAAGATGATGCTGAAAGTGATAGTGGAACTTCAGGCAGAAACTCAGGTTCTGGTGGAAAAACTAAAGCTAAAGAAAATCGCATAGGTATACCAAAAAATGGGGGACGGGGAGGAGGTAATGGTGGTTCTACCAATAGAGGAGGCTCTACTAAAGATCGGGACTTTATGCATGAAAGAGGTTACACAAGAAATGACGGCAAAGGACGAAATCCTGCCAATAGTGGCAAACCATTAAACAACAACAAACGTAAGCCCAGTCGCGGCCAACCAACCACCTCCAGTCGCAACAGACCCGGCAGTCCGGTTAGTTCAGACGGTGGTAACTATAACTATGATCCACCCGGTTCCAATAGTAATAATTACGATGTTAATGATGATGATTATGCTAGTGCTTTGCCACCTCTCGTAACAGCCAATCACAAGATACTCGAAATCGATCGTGAACGTGATTGGGTAGAACGTCATCGTGATTCGACAATCATTAAAAATGTAGGCAAATGGTATTTGGGTCTGCCACCGGGTCAAAGTGTACGAGCGCATGTGCAAAATATTGATATTTTACCATTGGGTGGTCGTAGGGTGCCATCACCATCGGAAGCTTTGCGCCGCGATGAACTGGCGGATATGACGGCTTCGCTAGAGAGTGAAAGTGATCCGTATAGAAGTTAGTTTATTTTATCTTTATAAGATCTATAACATTAGTTTAAGTTGGATTAAAAAAAAATTTTTGAAAGTTTTAAAAATGGGTCGTTTTTAAAGTTAAAAAAATAATAAGTGCATTTTGTAAAACGTTATAATTCCCAAAATATATCCTTAGTTTCCTAAGATTTGATATAATTTATACTGGCTAAATAGTTCAATAATTATAATAAATTTATATTAAAATGCGATTTTAAAAATTCCTTATTGTTTTCTTATTTTATTTAACCACCAACATTTTAAATAACATAAGAAATGCTTTTAAAAATTGTTAAGGAATTTTAATTTCAATATGATTAGATCTTCTTTTGCTAACAATTTTTGAAACATGTGTGCAAAAAACACAGAAACTTGTTGGTTATAAAACTAGCAATTTATAGCATTAAAATTTTTACCACATAGTGTTTTTACTTTTATGCTAAAGTATTAATATCAAATAAAAACTATTTTAATTTCTTATTGATGCAAATTTAAAATCAATTAATACAAATCTTAATTATAAAGACATAAATAAGCAAATATGATTGCTTTATTTGGTTATGACGAATTTTATTAGATATTTGCTAAAGCTCTTCAAAAGTTAAACACGCCCTGAAATAAACTTCTAGATAAAAATTCAAAAATTATTTTTAATGAACCACGAACAAAAATGAATCACTTAGAGAAAGTCAACCAGTGACTGAAGTTTAGACAAGTCTGTAGTAACGACTATGGTCCAGTCTATAGCCTAACTCTATAGTGTAGTCTAGTGTAGAGTCCAGTCTATAGTCTAGTCTAAAGTGTGGCCTAGTCTAGTCTAGTCTAAAGTCTAGTCTATAGCCTAGTCTATAGTCTAGTCTATAGTCTAGTCTATAGCCTAGTCTATAGTCTAGTCTATAGTCTAGTCTATAGTCTAGTCTATAGTCTAGTCTATAGTCTAGTCTATAGTCTAGTCTATAGTATAGTCTATAGTCTAGTCTATAGTCTAGTCTATAGTATAGTCTATAGTCTAGTCTATAGTCTAGTGTAGAGTCCAGTCTATAGTCTAGTCTAAAGTGTGGCCTATAGTCTAGTCTATAGCCTAGTCTATAGTCTAGTCTAAAGTATAGTCTATAGCCTAGTCTATAACCTAGTCTATAGTCTAGTCTATAGTCTAGTCTAGAGTCTAGTCTATAGTCTAGTCTATAGTCTAGTCTATAGTCTAGTCTATAGTGTAGTCTATAGTCTAGTCTATAGTCTAGTCTATAGTCTAGTCTACAGTCTAGTCTATAGTCTAGTCTATAGTCTCGTCTATAGTCTCGTCTATAGTCTAGTCAATAGTCTAGTCTATAGTCTAGTCTATAGTCTAGTCTATAGTCTAGTCTATAGTCTAGTCTATAGTCTAGTCTATAGTCTAGTCTATAGTCTAGTCTATAGTCTAGTCTATAGTCTAGTCTATAGTCTAGTCTATAGTCTAGTCTATAGTCTAGTCTATAGTCTAGTCTATAGTCTAGTCTATAGTCTAGTCTATAGTCTAGTCTATAGTCTAGTCTATAGTCTAGTCTATAGTCTATTCTATAGTCTAGTCTATAGTCTAGTCTATAGTCTAGTCTATAGTCTAGTCTATAGTCTAGCCTATAGTCTATTCTATAGTATAGTCTATAGTCTAGTCTATAGTCTAGTCTATAGTCTAGTCTATAGTCTAGTCTATAGTCTAGTCTATAGTCTAGTCTATAGTCTAGTCTATAGTCTAGGCTATAGTCTAGTCTATAGTCTAGTCTATAGTCTAGTCTATAGTCTAGTCTATAGTCTAGTCTATAGTCTAGTCTATAGTCTAGTCTATAGTCTAGTCTATAGTCTAGTCTATAGTCTAGTCTATAGTCTAGTCTATAGTCTAGTCTATAGTCTAGTCTATAGTCTAGTCTATAGTCTAGTCTATAGTCTAGTCTATAGTCTAGTCTATAGTCTAGTCTATAGTCTAGTCTATAGTCTAGTCTATAGTCTAGTCTATAGTCTAGTCTATAGTCTAGTCTATAGTCTAGTCTATAGTCTAGTCTATAGTCTAGTCTATAGTCTAGTCTATAGTCTAGTCTATAGTCTAGTCTATAGTCTAGTCTATAGTCTATTCTATAGTCTATAGTCTAGTCTATAGTCTAGTCTATTCTATAGTCTATAGTCTAGTCTATAGTCTAGTCTATAGTCTAGTCTATAGTCTAGTCTATAGTCTAGTCTATAGTCTAGTCTATAGTCTAGTCTATAGTCTAGTCTATAGTCTAGTCTATAGTCTAGTCTATAGTCTAGTCTATAGTCTAGTCTATAGTCTAGTCTATAGTCTAGTCTATAGTCTAGTCTATAGTCTAGTCTATAGTCTAGTCTATAGTCTAGTCTATAGTCTAGTCTATAGTCTAGTCTATAGTCTAGTCTATAGTCTAGTCTATAGTCTAGTCTATAGTCTAGTCTATAGTCTAGTCTATAGTGTCTAGTCTAGTCTAGCGGTCTAGTCTATAGTCTAGTCTATAGTCTAGTCTATAGTCTAGTCTATAGTCTAGTCTATAGTCTAGTCTATAGTCTAGTCTATAGTCTGTCTATAGTCTAGTCTATATGTCTAGTCTATAGTCTAGTCCTATAGTCTAGTCTATAGTCTAGTCTATAGTCTAGTCTAATAGTCTAGTCTATAGTCTAGTCTATAGTCTAGTCTATAGTCTAGTCTATAGTCTAGTCTATAGTCTAGTCTATAGTCTAGTCTATAGTCTAGTCTATAGTCTAGTCTATAGTCTAGTCTATAGTCTAGTCTATAGTCTAGTCTAGTCTATAGTCTAGTCTATAGTCTAGTCTATAGTCTAGTCTATAGTCTAGTCTATAGTCTAGTCTATAGTCTAGTCTACAGTCTAGTCTAAAGTCTAATTTATAGTCCTAGCTATAGTTTGTCCAAAATCGGATTCTAATTTTTTATTTTAAGAACTTTTACTAAATTTTCCAAAAAGCAATTTCAAAACGTAATGTTTGTAGATGTGTGTTTTTAAAAAAGGATAAAATGTTGTTATTTTTAATCTGAAATTATCGACGTTGTAAAGATTTCTTTATATAATATCAAATGCCTATAGCTAACAGTTTAGAGTCAACTTCTAGGCAAATTTGTTAAAAGATCATTTTATAGAGAAAATTTTTTAATGATTAATTTTCTAAGCGAAAGTATTAAAAGATCAGTTTTATAGTTATGATCGAAAGATTGATATAAGACGATCTGTCAAAGGAATTCTAAAAGAAAAGAAATTTCCCATTAATACTTTCTATGAAAACACTTTCACTAAGAATGAGCGCAGTTTTTTGAAAATGCCTTCCTTACAAAACGAGTATAATTGAATTTTATGTTTATTTACTGGTAAAATAACAATTCCTATTTTAAATTTTGAATAAAAATCTATATAACATTATAGAACCTCTTGCTTTTATAGATTTGTTTTCAATTATAAAAATCTTTTCCAAAAAATTACAAAATACTCCGCCAAGAATTTCTCAATGTTTAGGGTTTTAATGTTGTAAATTTAACCAACTTCGTATTGCAAAATAGAACAATATACTTAGCTAACAAAACCAGTATTGCAAACACTTGTTGGTAACCTTATTTTCTGGAAAAAACTGGAGCAACACTTTACCAAAGGTGTCATATGAATCCATATGAAAAACAAAAAAACGATATATTGAAAAAAAAATCTCACACGCAGATTGTATTCAAATATGTATGTATGTACCTATACATACACAAACACACAAAAGTGATCATGATCATTACTAAATTGATAGAGGCAACTCCATACAAAGGGAGATGGAGTCTAGTAGTAAAACAATGTGGCAGAAACAATTAAACCAATATTGCGGTTGACATCGAACCGATATGAATATTAAAACAAATCATATAAAAACAATGCCTTCCAAGATTTATAAGAATAGTCTAGAGAAGCTAACAAGTGTTACAGGTGTTCAGTTTTGCTGTAGACAAGTTTTATTTAGTTGGAGAAAAAATGAAAATTTCTTACATGAAAATATTTTGGTGCTTAATTGTTGTTTTGCAACAACGACAACAACAAGGATATGGCCAGGAATTGGGCAAATCACAGGCCAATTCATATTTTTATCTTAAACAAAATGGTGGCTATGAATATGCCTTCAATACGGATACCGGTTTACAAAGTGCTCAGACAGCAGATCAAGCCAACGAAGTGACAGGACACTATATGTACTATGAGAAAGGAGTACCATTTATGGTTAAATATAGAGCTGGCCGTAATGGTTATCAACCGGAAATAATACCAGCTGAAAAATTAATGAATGGCAATTTTAAAAGTTATAGTGCTCCTGATAATTCTTTAATAACTCGTGATTTGAGAACACCTTCACATCAGGAAGCCAATGCCAATGGATATAGGTTGACATCAACAAACTCTCTACAAACTCCCAAAGTGTCTTCGTTTAATATTGGTTCGGACTCAACTTTGAATTTTGTACAAAGTGCTTTGAAAACCATGCAAACTCAACCGATGCATATGTCTTTTACCTCTGAATTGGGACAAATACAACATCCTGCTGTACACACCACTACCTCCTCTAGACCAGTAACAACCTCCACCATTCTACAGCCAGTTACACGCAATGATGTTCAGGATATCAACAATTTGGCTTTGCTACCCTCTTCCTCTATATCGGAGGCAAAACATCCCTATAGTTTTAACTATAATGCCGATCAGTCGGCACGTTCCGAAACCTCTGATCCTGCTGGCAATGTTGTGGGCAGTTATTCCTATTACGATGAGGCTGGCTATCATGATATCTCCTATAAAGCCAATGATGATACCGGTTTTGTAGTCTTGGGTGGTAATTTGGCTCATAATCAATTGCCCGCCCCATCACATCATCAGCCTCAACGTAGACAACTGTTTCGTAATAGTAATTTTAATTTCAATAACTATAGAATCACTGCAGATCCACGCTTAAGTTCTAATGCCTTAGATGAACGTAATTTGGGTAAACGTTCGCTGCGCAATGCTGTAGATGATCGTGATACGGGTAAACGTTCTTTGCGTAAATTTAGACGTTATGCTAAGTGGTAAATTTGGAATTTGTTTTAATTTTTGGTTTATCCCCTCTCTTTCTCGCTCTATGGACTGTTATGAAAAGAAAAAACTATGTTTTTTATTTTAATGTGAAAATGTTATGAATTAAATAGAATTTTTATTTAACTAAGTATTATTTAACTTTTTTTTAAGTAAAGCAAAAGAATCATTATGAAAAGATGCCGTGATTCAAAAAATGAATAATGATCGTGTTTTTTTTAACAAAGCCTTAAGGTAGGCAACAGTTTTTCATTCAGTTTATGGTTAAATTAAATTATACAGTACTAAGTAGTGTTGACAAAAGAAGGTAATTCAATAAAAACGCAAAATACTTTAAATCATTTATACAATGATTATAGAGAATTGTCGACCACTTCTCTATTTGTAGAGAATTATCGATCATTTCTCTATTTTTAGAGAATTTTCGATAATTTCTTTATTTATGGAAGAAGAATTTTTTCGCTATTTGAAGATTATTTTCAATTATTTCTCTATTTTAAGAGAATAGTCGATCACATCTCTATTTGTAGACAATTATCGATCATTACTCTTTTTATACCGTTCACCTTCGTGAGAAGGGTATATATAAGTTTGTTATTCCGTTTGTAATTTCTATAATATAATTTTCCGACCCTATAAAGTATATATATTCTGGATCCTTATAGATAGCGCAGTAGATTTAGCCATATCCGTCTGTCTGGCTGTGTGTATGTTGAAATCAGTTTTCAGAAGACCCCTGATATCTGCGAAATCCGAATTTTCAATAATTCTATGGGAAATACGATCAAATAGAACGCTATTTAAAATCAGCCAAATCTGCCCATAAATAACGAAGATATGAGTTAAAATCCGAGACCACTTTTTCGTTCTACAAAAGGTACTTTTTGAATTTTCTATAATATTGAACCTAGAAACATGAAATTTAGCATGTAGCGCCTTGACTAGGTAAGAACTTATAAAAGGGGACTTTTTCGCTCTACAAAAGGTACTTTTTGAATTTTCTATAATATTGAACCTAGAAACATGAAATTTAGCATGTAGGGCCTTGACTAGGTAAGAACTTATAAAAGGAGACTTTTTGGTACTTTTTCGCTCTACAAAAGGTACTTTTTGAATTTTCTACAATATTGAATCTAGAAACACGAAATTTAGCATGTAGAGCCCGGATTAGCTGAGAACCTATAACAGGGGACTTTTTTTGTACTTTTTCGTCCTACAAAAGGTACTTTTTGAATTTTCTATAATATTGAACCTAGGAACATGAAATTTTGCATGTAGGGCCTTGACTAGGTAAGAACTTATAAAAGGGGACTTTTTGGTACTTTTTCGCTCTACAAAGGTACTTTTTGAATTTTCTATAATATTGAACCTAGAAACATGAAATTTAGCATGTAGGGCCTTGAACTTATAAAAGGAGACTTTTTGGTACTTTTCCGTTCTACAAAACGTACTTTTTGAATTTTCTATAATATTGAACATAAAAACATGAAATTAATTATGTAGAGCCTGGGTTAAGTGGGAACCCATAAAATAGTACTCTTTGGTACTTTTTCGTTCTTACAAAGGTACTTTTTGAAATTTCTCTAATAATGAATCTAGAAACATGTAATTAAGTATGAAGAGCCCGGATTATGTGAAAACCTATAAAAGGGCACTTTTTGGTACTTTGTCGTTCTTCAAAAGGCACTTTTTGAATTTTCTATAATATTGAACCTAGAAATATTAAATTATGAATGTAGAGCCCGGATCAAGTAAAAATCCATAAAAGGGGTCTTTTTGGTACCTTACCGTTTTACAATTGGTATTTTTTGATTTTTTGTAATAAAATTCGTACTGACTGTTTTTTAACACATCATGGTGAAGGGTATATAATATATAGAACTCTTACTTGTTTTTTAGTTAATGTAGAACATTTTTCTATTTATACAGAATTTTCGATCATTTTAGAATTGTCGATCACTTTTCTATTTGCATATAATTATCGATCAGTTATAGAGAATTGTCGATCATTTCCTTATTAACAGATTTTGATATTTATTAAGAATATTCGTCAATTCTCTATTAATAAAAAACTGCAGATCACTTCTCTATTTCCAGAGAATTAACGATCTTTTCTCTTTTTATAAAGAATTCACTTATTACATTATTATTTATTTAAAGACAATAAAAGATAATTTTTCTATATCTAAAAAATTGGAGATTACTTCTCTTTTTATAGACAATTGTCGATCTACTTATAAAGAACTGTCGAAAATTTCTCTATTCAGAAAAGTTTCGATCATTTCTTTATTTAAAGAGAATTATAGATTATTTCTCTATTTATAGAGAATTGTAGACAGTTTTGTTTCTTATAGAGAACTGAAACTAATTTTCACATATGCATATAAATAACTTGCTATACCCCGTGTGCTTTGCTACCCTCAAGTCAATATAAATAGAAAATTAATTTTGATGATTCTAGCCCTAACAGTTTCCCAGATATAGGAATTTCTATATTTATAATACTTACATATGGAAAGTGTCAAAGCCCTATTGAAAGTCCGCCAAATTATTACTCAAATGTTAATATGAGTGTCAGAGTTCTTCGTGCAGAATTTAAGATTCTAGCTCTAATAGTTTTCCAGATAAAAGCCCGCCCATTTTTCTCCTAAATGTTCAAATGGATGTTAAAATTCTTCGTAAAAAACTTAAAGATTCTTGCTCTAATAGTTTCCTAGATAAACGAATTTTTGAATTTATCTTATATGGGAGGTACCACGCCCCTTAATTCTAGTCCGCCAATTTATTACCCAAATGTTAACATGAATGTCACAGTAGTTCGTACAAAATTTTAACATTTTAGCTCTAGTAGTTTCTCAGATATACGAATGTTTGTATTCAATCCGTATGGGAGGTTCCAAGACCCTCTTCTGAGAGTTTATCCATTTTCCTCCTAAATATTCTCATGGATTCTAAAGGCCTTTGTGCAAAATTTCAAGATTTTATCTACAATAGTTTTCCCAGATAAATGAATTTTAGTATTTAATTCATATGTAAGGTGCCACGCCTCCCCCCATATCTAGTCCGCCCATTTTTTGTCCTAAACATACATGTTGATACTAAAGTGTCCCCGATAAAATGAGGACTCTAGCTGTTATATTTTCTCAGGTTTAATAATTTAAGATTTTCTTTTTATGGAAGGTGCCCCGCCCACTATAGTTAGGCTGCCCATTTTATTTTTAGATGTTAAAGTTGTACATACAATATTTGAGGACTCTTGCAGTTTCTGAAATATGCAACTTTTAAAACTTATTTTATATTTGGAAGTGGCACGTCGCCCACTTCAAATTTTGAAGTATAAACTTATAAAAGTTTACTTTTGCTCTACACTGTACCTAAAATACATCATAATGCAGAATAAGTATGTTTCACAAAATTTATTACCCTGATATTTGCTCTATTTTAGCTTAAATTAATGTCCCCAAAAATCTAATTGTAGCAAAAGAAGTGCTAACTTAAAAAACAAATAAAAACTGTCATATTAAAGTTGTTAAAAAAAAAAAAAACAACTATAAATTTCAATTTTGTTGTTTTGATTTTATTGTTGTAACGTGATTTCCGAAACATAAAATTTACAAAAAAAAACACAATGTTTACGTTTAATAAAATTATTTAAAAAGTAACCCGCGATTAACAACAATTGATAAGAGTTTAAGAAAAATAATTAACAATATTACTAAAGGGTTACTGAAGTAAAAACAACTGGATTTAAGTTAAGTTATTTTTAAATGTTTAATATTCAATACATTATGCTCTGCTGTTAAACATTTAAGTTAATTTATTATTTTGGGGGACTTATTTTTTTTATACACTGTAAATATATTTTATATTTACTTAAGGTTTAATGTAATATTGAGATCGTTTAAACATGTTTGGTTATATCGACTGAGGTTTGGTCATTTTTTGATTTTAAAGAAATATCACTAAAAGTACGATCAATGTTAACCAAAGTAATATAATGCAATAGTTTGCAAAATCATCATTTTTTTTTTTTTGTTGCTTTTATATGAATTTTAATATAATAGAAGCCTTGGCTGGCAGTATTTTGCGAATTATTTAAACTATTTATTTAACTAGGAAGGTAACCAAGCTAGATCACCACCACCCTTTAGTTATTTTCGTTAAAATTGTAAAGATATTTGAAATTTTTACACGTTTTTTAAATGGACTTAAATGTTTCACAATTTATCTTTAAAGTCATTAAATTATTTGATTAATGGCCCTTTTTATAGATTTTAGACAAATTGAAGTCAATGAACTACTAGTGTCCAGTTTAATTTATTGAAAACATACAAAAAATGTTTACTAAATAAATGTCATAGAATTCTAATTCAAACACAATTTGTACTTAGGGCATGATTATAAAAATTTTATAAAAAAATTTTCATTAAGAGATCGACAATTCTCTAGAAATAGAGAAATTATCAAAAATTGTCTATAAATAGGAAAATGATCTGCATTTCTCTTTAAATAAAGTAATGCTTTACAATTCTCTACGAATAGAGAAACGATCGACAATTCTCTAGAAATAGAGAAATCATCAAAAACTCTCTATAAGTACCAAAAAATTTTCCTTAAATGAAGAAGTGATCGAAACTGCTCTGGTCCACTCTGACAACAGATAGGACTAGGACTCTCTTGTCTCTTAGTAAGAACTCGATTAGGCTTCTAACTGGTATAATTACTGGGCACTGTATGATTAGACATATGTCGGAACGTATGGGCTACCCACGTTATAGCTACTATAGAAGCTGCTTGGACGAAGAAGAAGTGGAATCGGTACAACACCTTCTATGAGACTGCCCAGCCTTACAAGAGCACAGACTACTCTATCTTAGTAGAGCTCTTTTCCATGATCTGGACTGTCTCAGAGATGCGTTACTAGTAAACATGATCGGTTTTATTAGAAGCAACGGCTGGTTTTCACGGAGACCGAACGAACCAAGTAGTCAACGAAATTAGGGAGGGAATCCATTCTCTCAATATTAGGGAATGACAATTCTAAGGGTATCACAGTGAGCCACAAGGCCTCCAAGTGAACTCGCCTACTAGCGAGTAACCCACGTAACCTAACCTAACCTAAGAAGTGATCGAAAATTCTCTATTTATAGAGAAATAATTCAAAGTCCTTTTTAAATAGAGAAATTTTTGA